GAGTCGTGTTTTATCCTCCCTATATCGCGTGAAGCCCCAGTTTGTATCATGCTTCCTTCATGATTAACAAGAGTCTGTTTGGACTGCTTAACCTGTTTAAACAAATGAATGGAGAAATCCGAGTGTCTTCCTTTAATTATTTTATTATTTGTTCAGACCTTGCCGCCGAGTCCCTCTCAGTCTAGTTGAAGTACTCCAGGGAATAGTACTTCCTCCAATTGTAATATTTTCAGGCCTTCACTTTCCATAACCGGTTTTGAACCCAATTAGGTCCTTCATCCACCATGGAAGTATTCAATACTTGTTTGGCAAGACTCGGATGATCATATCTGTAGCACCCGATCCTCCCCGAGGGGAATCAGTCGCAGCCTCTGCAATCGAATACTAGTGTCGTGTTTCCTACATCCTCCTCCTTATATCGAGTGAAGCCCCAATTTGTATCATGCTTCCTCCAAGATTAACAAGAGTCTGTTTGGTCTTTTTGGCGAATGGTCCAGCATTGAGTGAATGTTGGCTCAATGTGGGTGCATAAACGGTGATGGTCACAGCGTTAAGTCAATGTTGATAAAACATGGATGTAACAACATTCCCAGCAAACATTCTAACAATCAATCAGCGTTGTATGAACGTTAAATTTGAACCTTCCCAGTGTTTGTTTGGCGTTGTAGCTAACATTAAGTCACTATTGCAATGTCTCTTATCGGAACACTCAGATGAACGTTGAAGTTCAACACAGGCTGAACCTTGAGCCAACATTGCAATGTCACTTATTTGAATCCTCACTCCCACCCTTGTAGTATTCCAATATTTGGTCAATAATGAAAACAACGGATTAAATAATCTTCTCAAAGTACATTTCTTAGTACTTTACAGGGAAGGCTATCCCTTTCCTGCTCTACGGAGTACTGAAATCCCCCTTTCCTTCGCTGAGAGTGAAAATATCATTTTCCCTCCCCAATAGGGAAAATAAAGTCAATTTATACGTTCGAGTTTGTAGTAACTCCTTCCTAAGCAAATGTACAGAGGGATGCAAGGGGTTCTCATAGGGAGTATGAGCTTGTTTATTGCCTGGGCTCCATGTTTCTGTCTCGAATATATGGATAATAAACTAATCAGTGTCCGATTTTATTGATTGCTATAATGAGGCAAGGAAAAACATATAGTGAGGTAATAAACACTCCTGTGAGGGATGTTTCCATGGAAAGAGGGAAGTGTACTTTTGTGTACTGTGCGAAAAGCGAGCCCCATACCGCCATCTAGTGGGCAAGAATTGAACTTCATCATTTCCTCAAAATTAACTCCTCCGTGGAAATTGGGCACATTGGATCATCGCGTCAGTCTGATATTGCATCGATGATAGAATGGCAAAATTGGGAAGTCCATATTGAGCCAATATTTAGCCAGTATTGGCAATAATGGCAAGATGCATGTAGACATTGTGCCCAATGTTTATCCAGCATTCACCCAATATCTGGTATTACTGGGGTAGTAACACTGGATAGGTTCTTGGTCGTTTTGCGAAAAAAATTTTTTTTCCCTATTTGGCGATGCATATTCCATATACTACCATAACTATTATTTTAAAATGCGATTTAAGAAGGTATCATAATGCCATAACACTGCTACAATATTCACGCAACGTTGGTATTTGACCTTCAACGTCGATGACACTGTATTGACTGTTTTAATGGGGACTAAATATTTAATTACTCCATGAATTTTAGATGCAAGTGATTGTATATTGTAACAAGAGGGCACCTAATAGAAGACAGCCTTTGCTTTCCTTCTCGAAAATTTCTCAAGCCGGAAAAATTTTAGAGGAACGAAACGAGAAAAGAAAGTTGACAGGCCCTCGGTGGGAGGCATCTGGGAATCCACAATGTCAGGGACCTTCGATGCGGAAAAATGATTTTGATCGGTTGAAAAGAACGGGTTCAGCGACTGTCGGCATTTCCTCGATTCTTATCTCGGGGATGGAATCAGAAGAGAGTCTAGAGGGTAGATGTCTATCTCCAGGGCGGGAATGGGAGGGGAGAGGGGGTGGTAGAGCGCAACGGTTCGACTCCAGGCTACGATTCCAGGGTATATAAGACCATTGAAACTCACAATCCCTGCTTCGTTTCCATTCAACTCTGTTTTCATAACGGTCTCTACGTCTGAAAGTCATAAGCGTTGTCTCCATCAAAGGCAATTTGGTTCGTGTAAATAAGAGCGAATATTGGGAGTCGTTTCAACGGGAAATTGTATCGTTGAACATGCACATGGAGAGGTGAAGGAACTATGGATTCGGATTAGCGCCATCTCTTGAGACCGGCAGATACTAATGTGTTCTATCAGCGACATCTACGTAGATGTGGGGAAACTATGGAGGAGGATGAACGACACCTCTCGGGTGCTGGAAGAACTGTAAACCATATCTCTGGAGTGAGGGGGAAACATCGGCTCAAAACCCGGCCTTTCCGTAAAGATCTTCACCAGCTCCTTGTGCCCAACCGAGGTTCGTCTCTGCACGATTTTAAACGTTCCAAATTAAATAATCCGTACTGGTCTCTCCCAATTGTCTACAGAACATAAGTCACGATCGGATGAACATTATTAAGCATAAACGGTATTAAATCACTTGAGCAGATAAACCACATATCAAAATACAATATGCATTGCTCAAATATCGATCGTTCGTGTTTTAGCCATCGTATCATCCATGCTAGCCATCGTTTCAAGCAATCGCTGCCGTGGCCATGACTCTCGTTACTATAAAGGGTCCAGGACACGTTTCAACGAGCGTGGCGTTGTATACCACAGAGGGAGTACCATGGATACGTGTGCGACGGATGGGGAATAGTGACACCGTCCGAACCATACAACAGTGAAAAAAATTCATATTCATAAACATGAATTTTAACAGCTAATCTCCAATAAAGCCGATCCGATCAGGGCGGTCTGGGACTGAAAATTGGCCCTGGCATTTTTACTCACACCGGCCCTCATCGAGGCCGTGGCTTTATAAGCTTAAATTAATTACTGAAACGAATTGCAAGACAATAATTAGACCAACCTCATTATTATTATTTTTGGCGCAGCAGGTTCGTCAACCCTCTTAACATGGCGCTGTGGAATAGCATTGCAGGGGTGATGACGCTATTTAAAAGATGTATATCTGGTCCCCTCCCCAAAAAAGTGGTAGCGACTTCAGGACGACAGGTCAGCCGAAGCCCCATTCCAGTGCGACGCCTCCGTCTTACCGCCATGCACCGAATGAAGGAATGACGGGGGCAGGGGGCATGGAGGACACGTGCGTTCCACGTGGTCCTCCACTGCAAGAGGTCACGTGACCTCCACGAGGACCTATCTCCCCTCTCCCCCCCCCCCCTCCGCATCCAGCTCACCTTCAACAATTTGGATGGACGGAAGCAGCAGTTGATGGAGCCTGAAAATTTCCTGCAAAACTCGATGAATGGAAAACCAAAGAACCTGACCGATCCGGAAATTTACTGTCTCAAGTCAGTTTGCCAGTATCCGACGGGAAACCAGAATGCCGACGACTTTGAATGGAGAGAAGGGGAAATACCTGGCCAGAAAACCTTTTAAAAAATTTAAACTGCGGCATGATTTTTTGGTGAGAGACTGCATTTGCGCATTGGCAAGCATTTTTTAGTACGGGCAACGTTCTTAATGTATGAATTTAATCATGTGATTGCATGCCGAGATTGCGGCGAGAGATCACACGAGCTCGCGAAACCATACCGCGTTTATTACGACCAAGATTTAATTTTTCAGGGACGGAGAATAAGATGTAATCGATGAATGGGAAGATTAACTTCTTGGAGAAATATGTGAAAAAATTTTCTCACTACGCGATCAATGATCGAGAGAAACCAAATTCATGTGTAAAATGTTCCCAAGAATTATTGGGTCGATTGGCGGATAGGAGATGAAGACATGAGGCTTCCTTTTCGAAAATGCTTCATATGGAAAAACAAAAAAAAAACTTGGATGAACGGAAATAAGGGGAAGGACCTTGAACGCGGAAAGACGGGTAAAGTCGCTTGAAAGGAACGGGTTGCGCGACGGTTGGCATTTCCTCCATTCTTATCGTTGGGATTGGAAAATAATTTTCGGAAGGAAGATGTATATCTCCAAGGGTGGAAGGGGAGGGGCTGGGGGGCGGGGGCGGTAGGGTCCAACGGTAACTGCTAGAGGCGACGATACCAGGGTATATAACTACGCGAGACTCTCACCATAGATTATAACTGGAGGCTCCACTCCGCTCGAATCCCATTCATTGACAGGGTCGCAATATAGATGTCGCTGTCGATCCTCCACCTAGCGTGCGCAACAACTCTTACATGGTCGAGCAGCGGACTCAGCGAGACACGCGTGTTATGTTCACTGAGCTAAGAAATAGAACTGGAGATGGCGCACAATGCAATGGATTTGGGGCAATTGGAAGCCATCTTAGTTGGGTATCATAGGGCTGATAACGTCATGTCGGAACTCTTCTTTCATGTGGGCGAGTCTCCTATTTCTCGAGTGGGCCTACTAAGGCGATAACATTACGCCGCCCTTGCATCATCACAGTCGACATATTTTACAGCAAGTCTAAGGCATAAAGTCAAACCAACTTCCAGTGAACATTCAAAGGTAAACATAGGCTAAAGGAAACGAAGGGCGACCACGAGGTACATGGTAGAGGTGTTGGCGGGTATTGGCAGGGCATGCTTCCCTATTCAGAAAGGCTGCTCCAGTGTTCCCGCGGTACCTGTTCCATTACTCGGCCAATGCTCACCGCAGGCCCGCTTTAGCCTAAACCCAACCAATATGGCTTCAAAATGCACCCGTTTTCCCGATGCTACTCCTATGGCCACACCATCTCCAGTTCTATTTCTTAGCTCAGTGGTTACGTTGAGGGATCCCTTCTGGTCGAATCCCCGAATGAGTCGTTTCCCGATTCCGCTGCCACGAAGTACGTCGCATGGAATCGTCGTTGATAACAAGCCACCAGATGTCTCTGTGATATTTCGACCCTCCCCTACCCCTCGGAGTGTCTCCTCTAGTTACACTCTCTACTCTTATGTTCTCACATCCCATGCTTCGTTTTCACTTCTTCCATTCAAGTCTTTCTCTTCCAGGTCTGTAAGTCATCATTATTGTCTCTCTGAATGGCAAATGATACTATTTTTTAAGAAGGAATTAACGGATTATAGGAAATAAATCCTTTGAATTCGGTTTTGATGATTTGTTTTAAATGATTTGTTGCAGGGCGTGTTCTATGACTGGTTACCTAGGAAATGAAGCTGCCATATCTTTGTGGATAGGGAAGTGCGGATCCTCACCAGCAGGGGCGGACTGGGACTTAAAATCGGCCCTCGTTGAGGCTGTGGCTTCTATGCCTAAACTGATTACTGAAGCGGATTACGAGGCGATTATTAGACCTACCTCAATTTTGATGCAGCTGGGGGCGGTTCGTCCAACTCTCAATGGCATGGCGCATGGTGGAATCTCACTGCAGGCGGTGGCGATGCTATTGAAAATATGGAAAGCTGGTTCCCTCCCAAAAAAAAACGTAGTAGCGGCTCCAGGATGACAGGTCAAAGAGGGGGGAAATGTCATTAAATTCTCGTAAACCGACCTGGGATGTTTGAATATAATATACAGTAGTTTATGGCTGTGGGGGGAAAGAGACATTCGTGAAAAGGCACGGTTGTCATATGTTCAAAACTTGCAATTTCCTTGTGCATTATAATTGCAATGCAACAATTAAGGGAAATAGTAAGGAGGAATGATCTGAAGTATCGCAAGCAGGAATGCATGGGAAAGACGTTGTGCCATATGTTAGACAAGGGAGAGATTTATGTGCTTCCAAAGAAACATCAAAATTTTGGGGGAGGGGCTCGTCCCGGTTCGTCGGCCCTTGAGGGGACCGGCCCTCTGGCATTTACAAGAGCTGCCAGGTGGCCAATCCACCCCTGCTCACCAGCGCCGTCTCTGGAGAGACGGTCGACCTCCGATTCCTGACTAACGCCATCTCTGGAGAGACGGAGGGACTATGGGTATAGACTACCGCCATCTCTGGAGAGAAGGTCGAACTCCGGTTCTTGACCAGCGGCATCTACATGGAATTATTGCTCCTAGTCAGAGCCATCTCTAAAGGGTAGGAGGAACTATGGTGCTATTTCAAATCATTTACTGATTCAGAGGAAAATGATTTTCATGAACCACTCTGCGAAAGACTTCACTCCCAGCACACAAGGGATTCATTAAGCAACACAAATTTCTGGCCGAAGTCAACAATGCCTCCAATGTAAAAAAGAAAGCCTGGAACAGCCAGCTTAACAATGGGAATTTTACTTCAGTGGCTTCCTTTTCCTTGACAAAAAAGTATACCATTCCATGCTGGATGTGTAATTAAAATAAATTAGCAAATGATAAGACGTGGAAGAAATACCTTTCCGAGGTAGCCACAGAAAATCGAATTGCTCAGTCTAAGGCTGGCAGTTCCACACCCTCTATTTCACGACGCATTATCATGCAAGTAATTTCAATTCCTGATTTTTACCTTGGTCATTCAACCATTTCGTTGATGGCCCGGACGCCATCAACGGCGAGGAACCTTGCAGGAATTCTCACATTTTCCGAACCTTCCACAGAAGTTCTGTCAATTCCTAGCCAATGCGAAACTAATATAAATTATTCTCTTTTACGTAACGTCACGATTCGTGACGTCATCGGCCCCACCCCCAGCACAAAGACAACCACAGCGGGGTTTGGGGGGGGAAATAACCACTCTATTCGCAGCACGTTCTACACGAAAAAATCCCCAAAGGAAAAAAAAAAGGAACACGACGACACGACATGCAGCTTGGCGATAATCCACTCGTGTTCTAAAAATCTACCAAAGAAAAAAACTCGAAATCCGCACGCTCGCATAAAAACACACTTGTGTCTTCCTTCCGCTCTTCAGGCGAGAGATCTGCAACCGAGGTGCCTGAAACTCACACGGGTCCACACACGGGTCCACACACGGGTCCACACATGGGTCCACACACGGGTCCACACTCACACGAGTCCACACGCACGAGTCTATACATTCGCCAACAAATCATCGTAGTTCAAAGAAAACACAAACTGGACGCTGGTGGAGGAGATGAAAAACGAGATTCGGGAAGGGGAAACGCGAACCACTACGTCATTAATTAATTACTTAATTAAATATTAGGGCCGAGTCTTTCGAAGAATTTGGAAGACCTGCGTTCCCGATCTCAACCATTTTCAAGTCTCTATCGAACCGAACTCGTCGTCTGCTCCCTCAGGCATTCCCCCGAGACACTTGGATGCGATGGCAGGCATCTGGAAAAGAAACGGTCACGATTCAGACAATTGGCATTACAACTGGCATAACAATTGGCATTGCAGTGCTCTGGGAATCACATCAGGACGGTGGAATCGGATTGAGAACAGGCGTCTGACATCGAATGACGGAGCATTAGATGCGGGCCCAGGCCACGATCGAATAGATGCCAGCGTGGTGATGCCAAACTGGCATCTATTCTTTGCTGCTCATTCCAAGGTGTCAGCAATTTTGATGCCATATAACAAAAGTCCTGATGCTCGTGACACGATGCGATCTGCCATCTTGTGCAAAAAATCGTGGCGACCATTACTTCTCATCTCAGTTTGCTGTGGAAAGAAACACGGCCAACTCCTGCTTATTCGGAGAAGAGCAAAGTCCCAGACGAAAAAAAAAAATTGGCCAGTCAACGAGACAGAATGCATGGGGGGAAAAAAATAAAAAAGATGTTCTTTCCCCTAGAAATCCGAAAAAGAGGTTTCCTCTAATTTCCAAGTCTCTCCGGTGACATCCCTCTTCCCTCGTCATTAGCACCTCAAATTTTTTAGAGCAAATCAAAACAACTTTTTTTTTTTTAGAATTCATTCGCCAAAACTTCTACCCGCACGGAAGAGGAAAAGCAAATAAATAAAGGCAATTGGCAGTGCAAATTTTTTTCGCATGGAAGAGCCGTTAAACCGAACGAAATTACCGGTCCAAAGAAGTCGTTTTAACGAGAATTGACCATATATAAAACAAAACAAAAGTTAAATTCATCATTTAAATTCATCATTTATCACTCCAGGATGTTAATAACATGATAAGTAAAAATCGGACATTTCTTTTTTTGAACTTATTTTTAACGGTTCGCAGAATCGCTACTGCGTTTTGGCCACAGGGCATCGTTCAAAAAGCTAATTGACCCGGTCCCACTCTCAAAATATAAAAACAAAAATGAATAAAAATAACAAGACAAGCTTAATGTCACTAGTACTTCTTTACTAGTGGAAGCAATTCACGTTTAGAACCATCTGAGACTCATCTCGCTATAGAAAACTCTGGAACGTACGCCAGCGGAATCAGAAACTAAATAAAGGACAAAACGAGATAAGGTCACAGGAAAAAAAGGGCAAATACCAACCACAACCAGTGATCAATGGCTGCACGGTGAGACCTGTTGCGGTGAGACCTGTTGCCGTCAGGTGTGGATATGCCACCTTAATGTCGCTGAGAAATGTCAGCGAGGTTGTTGCGGTCTGCATCTGGCAATCGGCCAAACCAATCGGGAAAGCGGGAAAGAAAAAGTGCCAAGTGGACGAAGAGTGGGAACATCCCCTAAGTGGCACCAAGGAAAGCCACCAGTTTTCATTATGCATCCTCCTTTCCCCCCCCCCATCCCGCGGCCAAACGATGTCAACCTCGCCTTGCGTCTCTGCTCGACCGAAGCATTCGACAAACCCTTAACTTTTTTGGAAACCTCCTCCCCCCCCACTCAAATTATAGCGAAAGACAGCCGAACATTGCGTTACGCAATTTTTCGTGGCACCATTCTCACCATCCCAGCCAATTGATGCAGACCGCGGCAGCCGCAGAAGACATCCTATGAAGAACTGTGTCCGCAGAGGTCTCTATAAGCTCTGGCGCCCACCACTCATTTTGCTCCCCCCCCCCCCAATTTTTTCCCCCAACCATTTGGCTTCTTGTTTTGGGCGGGTCTCGGATATTTTGAGCATCGCCAATCGAAAAATGAAGCAATATTGACACTTTTCAGCAACATTGGATGGTGGATGGAAAAAACTAGTCCCGGAAGCGACGCGTGTTTCCGCATTCCCATTCCAAGTCCATTTCTAAGATAAGCAGAAGTCGAAAAAACAAGCAAGGAGCAACCTCGCTGCAGTCCTTCACCTGGTTCTGGGAAGTGATTCCAGCATTCACAGTCCAGAAAGGACCATTGCTTCACCAGGATCCCCCCCCCCCCACCCCCCACCCGCCCCCCAAAAAAAAAATCACGTACCGAGATCAGCGCAGCCAACTATTTTTAGACGCGAATGCTGCATCAAGAAAGAAAGAAAGCCTTCAAAGCTGATGTCGTCTCCTCGCCCAAGACAAGGAAATCTCGGTTACGGTCACACCTCGCGAATGGGAGAAAAGGAAGCCGAGAATTCTAGGACGGTCGACGGCCGACCGGAGTCGGTGCCAAAGTACGGTCTAGCCAGCCGACTTCTCTGTCCTACTTCATCCCTGTCTTTCCAGGCGTCATCCAGTCATCCACTGAGGATGACGCGACATGGCATGCACGGGGAAGATTTTTTGTGCGGAGAGAAAAATCTCATGGCCACGCCTCGTGGCCAATTAAAATAATTAAATAATTAAAATAAAATTATTTTAAAAAAATTATTCCAATGATGCAAAAAAAAAAACAATCGATCCATTCCCCATCGCTCCCGCGAATTCACATGCAGACTCCCGCTTACCGGCATCCGTGTCTTCTTCTCGGAGGAACCCTGGCGAGACCTGTCTTTCCCCATCTGCCTCACATCTGCAAAAAAAAAAAAAATCATGAATTCTTCAGTCCGGTTTCACTCTCGGCTCCCTCAGAGGAGCGCCTCGCACAACGATTCCGTGGTCAAGCAATTTCTTAACAACTTCTTAACCATTTCTTAGCAGACTTGCTTGCGGTTTCCTTAAGGAACGCTGAAAAGCCAAAATAATTTCATCAGCCTCGTGCAAAAGTATCCGAGTTAGTGCATACCCAACCCCCAATTTAAAATAACATCCATATTTTATCAATATATATTAAACCCATATTTTATCAATGTATATTAAATTCATATTTTATCCATACTTTCCATATTTTTTTATTATCCATATTTATATTCAATGCGCCGTTTCTCTTAGATCCTTCGTCAGGCGATAAAAAATTAAATAAACAAAAAGGATTATCGTTGACATATAGGCGGTGCTATTCACAAAATTATATCTGAAAAATAAATAAAACAAATAAATCAGCTCATAATTTTTCTCGTCTGGAGACAGTTGCCAAAAAATTCCCTCTTAATCGCAATTGATTTTGAGTTTGCAAATTGATTATTTACATTTATATATCCATTATTTATGTATCCATTTTCTTTCAAAAAAGACATATGTATTGCTAAATATTATTTAAGCATTAGATAATTATTTATTGGATACTTTTTGCGTTTGTTGCTGTATTTCTAAACAAGCTCTAATTATTTTTTAAAGGATAAATTGCTTAGCTTAGGACATGCTTAGGGTATGCTTAGGATTCATGGACTCGTCGCTTGAATCACTCCATCCATTCGTGCCGTTTTTTTTGCAGCGAGCTCGGTTTATATTCAGCAGAAGTTTATTTGCTTCGTGCTTGATTTGGCAAGAAAGGATCCTCTTTAGCGTCTTTGGTCCTTTTTCTTGGGCGGATTACGGATTATCTTTTGGATATACGGGACTTACTTCTGAATTTTAAGCCCTGAGGGATTTCGCGGCAGGTCTCCCGGGCCGCGATTAGACAAGCAGACTCTGATTTTACTTCTGTGAAGGAAAAAAATTAAAATGAATAAAAATGAATGAAAATGAGTAAAAACGAATAAAAATGAATAAAAATGATTTTTTTTTGCAGCCGCTATAGTGTGAAGCAATTCTATTCGTTCCTGAACGCAGAGAAATCCGACGAAAGTTCGTCCGCGACTCTCTGCACCTGTGAGCGAGTCCACACGAGTCTGGGTGGCTCACAGAAAAAGTCATGCCAGAAATGAAGACCAGAAAAGTTATTCGGAAGATAATCTATATAAAATCAATAACTTTAGTAAATTTCCAATTTCATCTAAAATCTACTGTGGTCCGTGGCACGCACGCTCACGCACAAGACTCACACGCACGCACGGCGCGATCGCGAGTTGTGAGGCCTGCAGAGAAGCGTGAGGCCGCTAATGAAGGTCCGCATGCCACACGAGGGGTGCCTTGTCTTCCCACACGGCCAGCTGTAGATGGCCATGACATGAGAGGAGCAGATACACCTTCATACCCAAACGAAAATGAGCTAGGTGTGTCTAAAAAAAAGAAAGGCTACCCCCGTCGCCCCTACAACGTGATCGCAGACATTTGAAAAGCATTTTTTCTCCTTGCAGCAGGTACCCGCATAACTCCTACAACAGGTACCCGCATAACTCCTACAACAGGTACCCGCGTAACTCCTACAGAACGCTGCCCGAATTCCAATGCGAAAGAAGGCGTCATTCGATGAAGCTCTTCCAGCCAGATCTCCACCCTCCACTCCACCCCGAACATCCGAGTGAATACCCGTGCCACGGCAAGCTCATTAAAGACGATGGATGTCACATGTTGCGGCGCATAAAAGAACGCCCGAAAGTAAGCAACGGGGTGCACATCCGACGCAGCGAAGAATGCGCGCCTGGCCCCGCGCCAGACAGCACAGCCGCCTCCAAAAGCTGCCGGGGGATTCCCCTCCGAGCCGGCCGAAAACCCGGCCTCCCTTCTCGGATGTCTCTCGGGCATTTAAAAACTCATCTACGACGCCAGTTGCCCCGTGTCCCCGACGACCTTCCCTCCCCTCCTGCCAACCCATTTCGTCACGTGCATCCAGCAGTAACGGAGAAGACTCAAACACGCCGCTCAAATTCTCCATTTCGCACGAAATCCATCGTGGAATAGTGACTTTCCCATCGTTTTCCCCGCAATCAAGATGATCCTGACCGGGAGAAAACCATCGTTCGTCAAAGAGCCCGTCCGTGTCTGTGCCCAGCTGCACGAACTCGGACCCCTCACGCTAGATGGCTCTGCCAGTCTGGGTGAAGGACATCCCATAGACTCAACGTAGAAGGAAGCTCTCGTTTCCCCGCGAATGCCCCGCGAATGCCCCGCGAATGTCCCGCGAATGCCCCGCGAATGTCCCGCGAATGTCCCGCGAATGTCCCGCGAATGCCCCGCGAATGTCCCGCGAATGTCCCGCGAATGTCCCGCGAATGTCTTATGCGCAGTATCCAAAGGACACAATTAAGGACAAAGAAGGCGCATCCAAGGCCACGGTCATTTACGCTGATGACGCGTGCAAACAAACCCAGGCACCCCGCCAAACGCATCAGCAAATCAATCAGCGGGAGCCTCCATTCATTCGTTCTGCGAGCCAAAATGTTGTCTCCCGAATTAGCCAGCGTGCCGAACCGCGCCGGGTTCCGGCGATTGCGGCGTGAGATGAATTGAGACAAGTGACCGGGATAAAACAAAGGACAAAAGGCCGTTTTCAACGTAGAAAAAGAAAAATGCAAAAAGCACATTTTATGTATCAAAAGTTGCGTCTAAAATATTCATAAGTATACCGATAAATTTACTTTGAAATACCAGCATTATAGCACATGCCAGGACCTATTTAAGTACTAGTACTAGGTGAACGCAGTACTGAACGTACCGCTTCATTTAAAAAAAAAAGAGTTGCCTTGGATTACGTTTTCTTTTTAAAGCGCGATGAAGTGAGCAATTCGCCATGAGACTAACATTAGCGAAGGGGTTCTT